TGGGGACAGCCCGTCGGGGCCGGAAGCCTTATGCCGTTTGAGGTGACTTATTTGCCGGGTAACCTCCATTTCAGATGGAGGACTGATGTCAACTGGCAGTATTTGCACAGCTGGAGACGAGACTGCATCTTGACGTGGTGTGATCGCTTGCGTGCCTCAATGACCCTGCGAGCTTCACAGGATGGCTTTTCACAGCCGTAGATCCAATCATGCCTGTAAGGTCAACGGGTAGAGGCCAGACGAAGCTCAGTCTCACAAAGCCAGCTGCTTGGGCACCCTCTGGCTTCTTTGTTCTATCCACACCCACCCCTGGAGAAGTCACTCCAGTAAAAAAACACGTGTGGCAGTTTACCGGTCATAGAACCCCCGCTAGATGGACGTAGGAGCGGGGTACCAGGGGCTTCCTCTCGACGGTGGGAGAAGTCTTCGCACTTCATTGGACAGCTACCGCCCGCCCAAGCTGGGCAGCCCCCAGCCAATAAGGTGCTGTCCCGTCCACGTTCCGCTTGTCTCATGCGGTTGAGGGCTGATCGCGAAAAGCGGACCGATAATCAACGCACCACCGAACAACACAATCGATCGAAATTCAAAGGCCTTGCGTGACAGGTCTTTAGAAGCTCCCACACGGATACTCCGTTCACGCTCCCGCGTTGGATTTACGCCCCACTGCCTTGTGGGTCAGACTTTTGAGTCGAAGGCTCCGGTTAGGGTTCCCAAAGAAAAACCCTTTCGTCGGTGTGGGCTACCGCAAAGTATGCCATGCCCTAAAGTCTTGGGTACCCATTTGGAAAACCATCTTCCCCATCTTTAATTTAATATCTCCGATCACTTATGTAGGTGAGTCTTGCTCGCAAGGATTATCCAATCAGTGAACAGTGTCATGAACGTGTCACACTAGGTGCAACGCCATTGGTCGAGTGCGACATTTCTGGTTGGATGGTCATCGGTCGTCCCGAATATCAAATTTAATTTAATTTTTTATTGTGTAAATTACGAAGCTCATGCTTATTGAATCCCATACGGTCTGCACACACTGGGTTCGGTCGGTAGTACAATTGAATAGCAAATTCTGACGTTCATTCACGGGTACTGAGAAGTTAGGTGGTTCAATGCTTCATCCAGTCGTGACTTGAATAAATCAATGGTTGGTACACAAAAAACTTGAGGTGGAAGAGAGTTCCAGGTGTTACAAACTCTGAGGCTGAAAGAATGACGCCTGCAGTCGAGCCGGCTCTTTTGGAGCAGAAGTTTAAACGGATGTCCTCGGAGGTGACCATCCCTAAAGAGCGTTACTAGAGTACTACATGGGTGTTTAGGTTGATGCAGTATTTGATGAACGAGGATCATTTCTCCCCGTATTCAACGGTATTCAGACGAATGGAGTCCGAGAATTCGCAGTTTTTCGCCGTAGGTCTTAGATTATAACCCTTTGACCATTTTGGTTGCTGTTCTCTGCGGACGTTCAAGTGCCTTTCGGTCGCGAATCAGCCATGGATTCCA